TCGTGGCCTGCCCAAGGTCCCCTACAAACTGGGCTGGGGTAGACCAGCGCACACCCTAGTCCAGTCTCCGCGTGTCCTGGCAGCAGGTCTCCGTCCTCCTGTCCCCACCTCCCGCACATTTTTCACAGTTGACGTTCTTCTCGTAAATGGCGTCTGAGAGGGTTGACAGAACACTCCACCAGTAGATAGGATGGGAGAGCGGTGGTGCGGGGACAGGTGACACACCTATGTACAAACTTCCATCTTCCTTTAAAGCGTTTTCTCCCTGGTGTGTTTCTATCCAAAAGCGCTCTTGGAGTTGTGAATCCTTTACTCAGTATTCAGCATAAGAAAATGAAGATCTTTGGGCCAGCAGGTGGCGTGGTGGTTCAGGCGCTGGGCTCCCAGATGGCCGACACAGTTGGCGTCTCGTATCCAGCAGCCTGAAATCATGCCGGGCAATGTGCATGGAAGCCCAAAACCCTAAGAGGAGAATGGAAGAGAAGGGATTGCAGTGTGGCCGTCCCCCTGGGGGGTGATTTTCCACTTTTCTTTCTGTCTCTCTCCAGCAAATGCATGCACCCTATGGGGGGGAAATAACCTTAAAAAAATAAAGATTCTTAAAATTAAAGCATTGGAATTGCTAAGTATTTATTAGCAGCACAATCTTTCCCTGGCATCTGTGTGTACATAGATATTATTTTTTCCCCTCCTTTCAGTAGCTTATCTCATCTCATCAATATGGCTGAGCTTGGAATCTAGTCTAATATGTCTTAAACAGCCTTATTTTTTAAAAAAGAATTCTTTTTTAGTTAACTTCATTTCTTTACTTACTTTAATTTGACCAGAGAGGGAGATAGAGAGTCACCAGATCCAGGACTCGAACCACGGTCGGCCATGTGGGAGTCCAGGGTCCTTAACCACCACACCACTTGCCGGCCCCTTGAACAACCTTATTTAGCATTTCTAATGAAACACATGCGCCTCCCCTTACCCATTTGGCTCTACTGTTCATTCCTTTGAGAGCGACTCACGGGGAATGGCCCGCTTATTTCCGCTGACTCGGGAGGAAGGAATTACTGGGACCATTGCTTTGAGTCCTCTTCTGCTTCCAGCCTGGAAGGCCCCGGCTCGGACAGGACAGGGTCTGTCACTCGAGGCCACACAACGCCAGTGGAGAGCCCGGTTCTGCTTCCGAGAGCTAACTGCCACCTTCCAGTAACCCTCTGTTTCTGGCAGCGTGGTCTGGATTCAACAATGACCTTGAGATGAGACTCCAGATAGTATGATGGGTCCCTGTGCGCTCAGTTCCCTTTCCTAAGCATAAGCTGTTCTAGTCCAAAGCAAGATGCTTAGTAACTCCTTTTCCATACAGAGGCACAAATGGCTATTTTTTTTAAAGTGAGTCACAAGTTTTGAACCAAAATGTTAAGGAAGAATTATAATTTGTATTTTTTTTATTGAAACCAAGCTCAGCCTTCCCTGAAGTCTGAGTATCTTGATTAAACACATTAGCTGTGATTGTGATAAGAAAACTTAGAACCTTTTTCTCATTGAAAGTGTGATCAAGCGATTTGCTTTTCAGAAATGACCATTTACAGAATTTGTGTTTGGATGCAGGGCAGAACCTAGACAGCATGCTCCACGGCAGCGGGGGGAAGGCCGACTCTGAGCAGAAGAAGTCTGAGCGTGGGGTCACCTTAGCACCGGAGGACACCTTGCCTTTTTTAAAGTGCTACTGCTCAGGACACTGCCCGGACGACGCTATTAACAACACGTGCATGTGAGTATTTTATGCCGTCCACGGTAAGAGGTAGGGGAGCCGAGTTGCATTTGGTACTATTTTAAGAATTATTAGGGTTGTCTGAGTTTTGTTTTCTTTAAATATTCATGTACTAGCTTTCCGAAGAACAGAAGAGCTTCTTGTTTTATGTATAGGGACATTATTACTGTGGAGTGGCCGATGATTACTTTATTCAAGTTCTGTCACAGCACAGCATCTTAAAAACAAAAGAAGGAATCTGTCATTCACCTAGTATTTTTAGTTTATTCATTGTTTTTTTTCCTAAGCTTTTTTTTTCTTGTAAGTTTTTGCTTCAGGGCATGGGCGTTCACTAGAGCGAGCGAGAAAGTGAGAAATCAGCCCCGGGATGGGGTGGCCCCGCACAGTCCCCTCCCCAGTCCCCTCTCGGGGTTTTGGGCGTGCGTACACCTGGTGTAATTGCCAGGCCAGCAGGTCCAGGGCTCTAGCCGTGCAGTTTCTCATGTGGGACCCGGTGCCTTAACGTCATGCCATCTACTGACCCTGTTCAGTGACGTTCCATCGTAAAGTCATTGATGGTTATTGCAGAAAACTTAAGAGACTACCAAAACTAAACCAAAGCTTTGCCCACAACTGCCTCACTTCTTAACTGGTAGAAATATTTTACAGATACATAGAATGATATTGGGATAATTAATTTTATGTTATTTTCTTACCTAAGAATTCCTCACTTTGATTCCAATTTACATAACTGGTTTACTCTTTAAGTTGTGAACACAGAACTCTTCTTATAAAAGATCATGTAATTCTATTCAATATTCTTTGGGGACATTGAAGAATTGACGTACAAGACCGCCCCCAAAAAGCAGCAGTTTCCGAACAACTCAGTCTCATCAGTGTTTACAGTGAATGCCACATTTCGTACTTTCTACATAATCATGTGCTCTTCGGATGATCCAGACACAGGGCGTGGACTGTGTCCGAGTTGCATTTGGTACTATTTTAAGAATTATTAGGGTTGTCTGAGTTTTGTTTTCTTTAAATATTCATGTACTAGCTTTCCGAAGAACAGAAGAGCTTCTTGTTTTATGTATAGGGACATTATTACTGTGGAGTGGCCGATGATTACTTTATTCAAGTTCTGTCACAGCACAGCATCTTAAAAACAAAAGAAGGAATCTGTCATTCACCTAGTATTTTTAGTTTATTCATTGTTTTTTTTCCTAAGCTTTTTTTTTCTTGTAAGTTTTTGCTTCAGGGCATGGGCGTTCACTAGAGCGAGCGAGAAAGTGAGAAATCAGCCCCGGGATGGGGTGGCCCCGCACAGTCCCCTCCCCAGTCCCCTCTCGGGGTTTTGGGCGTGCGTACACCTGGTGTAATTGTCAGGCCAGCAGGTCCAGGGCTCTAGCCGTGCAGTTTCTCATGTGGGACCCGGTGCCTTAACGTCATGCCATCTACTGACCCTGTTCAGTGACGTTCCATCGTAAAGTCATTGATGGTTATTGCAGAAAACTTAAGAGACTACCAAAACTAAACCAAAGCTTTGCCCACAACTGCCTCACTTCTTAACTGGTAGAAATATTTTACAGATACATAGAATGATATTGGGATAATTAATTTTATGTTATTTTCTTACCTAAGAATTCCTCACTTTGATTCCAATTTACATAACTGGTTTACTCTTTAAGTTGTGAACACAGAACTCTTCTTATAAAAGATCATGTAATTCTATTCAATATTCTTTGGGGACATTGAAGAATTGACGTACAAGACCGCCCCCAAAAAGCAGCAGTTTCCGAACAACTCAGTCTCATCAGTGTTTACAGTGAATGCCACATTTCGTACTTTCTACATAATCATGTGCTCTTCGGATGATCCAGACACAGGGCGTGGACTGTGTGTGTGGCGTGGCCCTGGTGCTGGTCAGCGGGGACACAGCAGGAGGCCGTGTGCATTCCGCACCAGCTCGGACGTGTTATCCTGGCTGTGTCACCACGTCACTTTTCAAAAGCCAGACTCTCGTCTGCAGAGCCGCGTGGCACACTGGTGTCGATGCGTACTGGGGAGTAGGAGCCGCACACGGGCCACGGATAGCAGGGAGACGTGCAGACGGTTCCTCCAGACCCGCTGTTGTCAAGGTGGCTATAGGAGATGATGTTTCAGTACATACCAGTATATTTCTGAAAGCTTATTCCGAGTGCTCCCTGTGTGCCCGTTACAGGAAGTAAGAATCGTCTTTTGTGACCTTGACCAAGTCTGTTCTTCCTAAATATGCTTTTGTCATCGAGTCAGTTGGTGTGTTTCACAGAAAAGTTTGCTTTTATCTGTTAAGTTGTTGGAAAAGTCATGACATATTTTTTCTTTTTCTTTTTGTGGAGAGGTTTTTGCTATAGGGCACGTGCGTTCACCAGACAGAGAGAGACAGAGAGACAGAAAGCGAGAAATCACCCCCCAGGGGGAATGGCCATGCCACAATCCCTTCTCCATTCTCCTCTCGGGATCTTGGGCACACACGCACATGCGCCCAGCGTGAGTTTTAAGCCACCGGGTCCGGGACACGAATCGCGGTCGACTACGTGGGTGTCCAGCGACATAGCCATTACGCTAACTGCTGGTCCCATGACATATTTTTTTCAAAAAACTATTTTGTGTAGGGACCAGCAAATGGTGTAACGGTTACTTCACTGGACTTTCACATAGTCGACCTCTGTTCTAGTCCAGGACCCAGTGGCTTAAAACTCAGGCCAGGCGCGTGTGCATGTGTGCCCCAAATCCCGAGAAGCAAATGGAGGAGCAGGGATTGTGGCATGGCCATTACCCTTGGAGGGCGCTTGACTTCTCGCTCTCTGTCTCTCCGACAAGCACACATGTCCTATAGCAAAAATCTCTCTAAAAAGGAAAATTTTTTGTGTAAAAATGTGTTCAAAACACTATGGTTATTTGTTTGGTCAACTTTATAAGTCAGCTTCCTATGAGCACATGGTTCTGGTTAGAAGAGAAGTTATATGACATGGGACATGTATTTGGAAGGTTTGTTTAACAGAAATCATTTCCACTTGATACAGGACTCATTGGCTGTGCAGATCCTGGTTCATGTACATCTGTCATTGCCCTGAAGCATTCCTAGCTTCGCCAGTAAATCACTCGTGAATGCAGTTCTCACTCAGAGCAGGAGGTCCTGAAGGCCATCAGTGTCTGTGAAACCCAGGCTTCGTCAGGACTCTGGTGTGACGTTGTGTTGTTTTTCCTTCTTCAGAACTAATGGACACTGCTTTGCCATCATAGAAGAGGATGACCAGGGAGAGACCACCTTAGCTTCAGGGTGCATGAAGTACGAAGGATCGGATTTTCAGTGCAAGGTGAGAGCGGGTTGGGAGCCCACGACATGAGATGGGCCCGAGGAGTGTTGCTTCCCTCTGTAGAAACGCTCCTGGTGTGCCTGTTGCTGTGTGTTCGTGGGACCAGACATTTGGGGAAGCTTAGCTCTTAATCCAGGCAATGTGCCTGTGGTAGCTGAAGTTCCAAATCGTTTTACTTTTAAGCACTTTGTAAATTATCCTCAGTTAATGGTTTCAAAAAATGATTTTGTGGCAACCAGCAGTTGGCGTAATGGCTATGTCGCTGGACTCCCATGTAGTCGACCGCGGTTCTCGTCCCAGACCTGGTGGCTTGAAACTCACGCCGGGCGCGTGTGCGTGCGTGCCCAAGATCCCGAGAGGAGAATGGAGGAGAAGGGATTGCGGCGTGACCATCCCCCCTGGGGGGTGATTTCTCGCTTTCTGTCTCTATGTCTCTATCTGTCTGGCGAGCGCACGCGCCCTATAGTGAAAACCTCTCCAAAAACAAAACAAAACAAAACAAAACAAAACAAAACAAAATGGTATTGTCACACTTACTCGCAGAGTGAGGGGGTGTTGCTTGGCGGGCCGAGGCCACCTGGGAGACTCGGGCTCAGGTCCCAGCCCAGCCTGAAAGTCAGCTCTGTGGTCCGCCTGTGGTCCCAGCTACTTGGGGAAAAATGAAGCTAAAGTCTAAGTTTATTTTGAGGCAAAAATATTTAAATCCATTTATAGTTTTTTTTTTTTTCATCATTTCCACTTACTATGAACTTTCTGATGGCCTCCTCATCTATGTTCTCCTTAAAAAAAAAAAAACACTTTTTAGTCTTTACAGCATTATTTTCGCACAAATTTAAATTTTTCAGTTATCTTTTTTACACATAAAATTTGCAGGTGCTTTTCACTCCCTGAATGAGAAATTATATTTTGCAAATACTAAAGCAGTTGCCGTCGATGTAACGAAGCAAGCCACTGCTAACGTCACCATCACTCTTCCCCTAGGATTCGCCGAAAGCCCAGCTCCGCCGGACCATCGAGTGCTGTCGGACCAACCTGTGTAACCAGTACCTGCAGCCCACCCTGCCCCCGGTGGTCATGGGTAGGTGAGCGGGAGGAGCCGGGCCGTACTCCGGGGACACGGTTCCCCTGGATGGCCCAGAGTGTGGGCTGTGGGCTGTGATGTCCTGTGCAGGGTGTGAGGAAGGTGACCTGGCCCTCCCTGTGCTCCTGTTCGCAGACCCCTTTCTCGACGGCAGCGTCCGGTGGCTGGTCGTCCTCATCTCCATGGCTGTCTGCGTGATCGCTATGACCATCTTTTCCAGCTGCTTCTGTTACAAGTAAGAGGGCGTTTGCGTCCACACAGACGGGTCTGTTGGGTATTAGAGAGCAGCGAGTGCTTTTGAAACCAGCAGGCAGGGGGCCGGCAGGGGGCGTGGTGGTTGAGGATGATGGGTTCCCTCACGGCCAGAACTCACGGTTTGTTTTCTTCCTGGACCTGGTGGCTTGCTTTCTCGCTTTCCCTTTCTCCTTCTCTCTGGTCAAATTGACAATAACAATAATAATAACAACAACAAATGGAATTAAATAAATAAATAAATAATAAGTTTGTCTTTTGAGGAACCAGTAGGCAGAAGCCACTGACTGGTATTTACAATTCAGAAATCACTAGTCTGTTCCTCTGGTCGTGTCTCCTTCACTTACCTGGATCACAGTTTTCTCAGGGGGAAGGAGGATTTTACTAATTAATTGATTAATTTCACCAATTAATTAATTTGACGCAATTTTATGTTGTTCGTAAGTCCATGAATACTTAATGATTTCCTCATTTATGGAATAAAGAGCTTTCTTATATCTGAATTTTTTTCTTTGGAGAGATTTTCACTATAGAGTGTGTGCGCTCGCCAGACAGACAGAGAGACATAGAGACAGAAAGCGAGAAATCACCCCCCAGGGGGGATGGTCACGCCGCAATCCCTTCTCCTCCATTCTCCTCTCAGGATCTTGGGCACGCACGCACACGTGCCCGGCGTGAGTTTTAAGCCACCGGGTCTGGGACGCAAACTGCGGTCGACTATGTGGGAGTCCAGCGACATAGCCATTGCGCTAATTGCTGGTTCCCTTATATCTGAATTTTCATGTCCTGTTCTAAGATAAGAAACCAACTGCTTTATAGTTTTTTATAACTTGGGGCTTCAGAATTGTATGTATTTAGGGCTTCAGAAGATAGTTGCCAAAAAAGAAGAGTAGTAGGAGCAGCCCACCTCTGCTAGATGTGGACTTCGCTGACAAGGCGTTATCACACTGTCGTGACGTAGTGAGACCAGTGACAGGCTAGTAAACCCGAGTGCTAGAGAAATTCATTATGCGCCGAAGGTAACATTTTGGGTCACTGAGGAAATGACAGGTGATTCAGTAAATGGAGTTGGTGGGAACAGATAGCTACATGGAAATAAACTTTAGCCAAATCAAACTGTAAATATAAAGTTTAAAAATGGTTCACATACTAGTAAAAAAGGAAGAATTAAAAAACGATCATCTCAGTTTAGAAGACAATTTTCTGAGTCTGAAACAAAACTTGAAAAAAAATACAAAGCAAAATAAGAACTAAAAACTAAGATAACAGAAGATCAGATGAAGAGTATCAATTACAGGAGACAGCAGGTGGCATGGTGGTTAAGGGCTCTGGACTGCGGTTCAATTCCCAGACCTGGTGGCTTGCTTTCTCATCGCCTCCTCCCCCCACTCAGTCCCTCTCTGGTCAAATTAAAAAAAAATAATGAAGTTAAATAAAATAATTCTTTAAGAAAAAAATAGTGTCAGGACCAGCAGATGGCATAATGGTTACGTCGCTGGGCTCCCACATAGTTGGCCACTGTTCAAGTTCCGAACCTGGAGACTTAAAAAACTCACACCAGGCATGTGTGCATGTGTGCCCAAGATCCCAAGAGCAGAATGGAGAAAAAAGAATTGAGGCATGGCCATCTTCCCAAGGGGTTATTTCTCACTTTCTGTCTCTCTGTCTCTCTCTGTCCAGTGAGTGCATGCACCTTAGAGCAAAAATCTCTCTCTCAAAAAAAAAAAGTCAATTACATAAAAATAAGACATCTGTGTTTAGTGGAAATCCACTATAAACGGTCATAAAACAGATTGTAGTGAAGAATATTGGCAGCTCACATACAAAGGGCTGCTTGAATATAAATGGCCTCTGTAAATTCAGGAGAAAAACAGCCTAGGCAGCTTAGTGGGCAAATAGGCAAAAAAAACAATGAACATGTGGTTTTATTTTTACTGCCGGGGGGGCCCGAGTGCTGGGCAGTGAGAAAGCACCCGTCTGGGCGTGGTGACATTATAGTCCTTCCACTGCTTCTTCCCAGCATGCACACAGCGTCCAGTGTGGTTTTCTTCTTTACCTTTTTACTTTACTTTATTTATTTTTTAAAGATTTTTGCTACAGGGGGTCCAGCAGTTAGCGTAATGGCTATGTTGCTGGACTCCCACGTAGTCGACCACGGTTCACGTCCCAGACCCGGTGGCTTAGAACTCACACTGGGCGCGTGTGTGTGCGTGCCCAAGATCCCGAGAGGAGAATGGAGGAGAAGGGATTGCGGCGTGGCCATCCCCCCTGGGGGGTGACTTCTCGTTTTCTGTCTCTCTGTCTCTCTCCTTCTGTCTGGCAAGCGCACAGCCCTATAGCAAAAACTTCTCAAAAAAAAAAAAAAGATTTTTGCCACAGGCATGTGCGCTCACCAGAGAGAGACGGAAAGAGGCCATTCAGAGGGAAAGTGAGAAATCGCCCCCCAGAGGAGCTGGCCACCCCACAGTCCCTTCTCCTGGAATCTGGGGCACGTACATATACGCACCCTGTGTGTGTTTTTTTTTTTTGGGGGGGGGGAGTTTTTGCTATAGGGCGCGTGCGCTTGCCAGACAGAGACAAAGAGACAGAAAGCGAGAAATCACCCCTGAGGGGGGATGGACATGTCGCAGTCCCTTCTCCATTCTCCTCTCAGGATCTTGGGCACACATGCACACGCGCCCGGTGTGAGTCTCAAGCCACCGGGTCCGGGACGCGAACCGCAGTCAACTACGTGGGAGTCCAGCGACATAGCCATTATGCTAACTGCTGGTCCCTTTTGTTTGTTTGTTTGTTTTTTGTACCCTGTGTGATTTTCAAGCACCAGGTCCAGGATTGAGCCACAGTCAATCCTGTGCGGGAGTTTAGCCACCTTAACCGCCCTCACTAGTAATCAAGAAAAAGCACATTCAAAGAAGGCTCTGTTTCCTACCCTCAGGCCCACAGAGGTTGCAAAGCGTAGAGTTTGGACTTTGGGTTGGAATGTGGGGGAGTGGACGTCGTGAGATTGCACTGTGGGTAGGAGTATAAATTGTCCCACGCTGAAGCGCACTTCGATGATACGTGTAAATGAAGGTGTATTTACCTTCTTCAGGAAGCCACACATCTGCACAAGGCGAGATGCCAGTGTCTCTCCTGGCACCGTTTATATTCGTGTAGTTGTGGGAAAATCTGAACTGCAGCTGTCGGTAAATTGTGTCAAATAACGGGTCACGACACACTCAGCAGAGTAAGGACGAGCTGTTTTTTTGCGTGTGTCAACGTAGATAAATGTGTACAGTAGAAGTTTGGTTTTTAAAGCAAGATAGAAAATCTTAATAGAATGTGCACTTTAATACATTTGTACATTGAGCAGTGATAGTATTTATGAATATCGACACGCACAATGAAAGAATAGAGGGAGCAGGAAGGCGGTAACCCCCTTCAGAGAGTGGTTTTCCTTCTGGGTTCAAAGGTGGGACGTGGGGACCAGCAGGTGGCATGGGGATTAAGGCGGCTGACTCCGAAGTTTGAGTCTTGGACCCAGCAACTTAAAAACCATGGTGGGTGCACCTGCATGCATCTAAACATGTGAACATTTATTAAGTGTAAATCATCTAGACACGGGTGCCAATTAAAGTAATGTCTATCTTCCTGTGTGCTTGATATATTTCATCATTAGGAATTTTTAAAAGGGAAGCCTTTAAAAATATCAGAACTAATTAAGGGAACTTTTTTCCTGTAAACTCCTCTTTCCTTTTTTAAAATGGCTGTGTATTTATTCATTTTAATATAAAAGCAGTTATAAATTCCAAAGGAAATACGGGGTCTTTGGGAATGTCATGACGCATTTTTGCATAGAAAATTAGAGGAAAATACGGCACCTTCCCGGCAGCCTGATAATGCGCTCAGCGGGAAGTGATGACCCAGAGCGGTGTGTCCCATCCTTGAGACACGTGAGGACACGAGGTTGCCGTTCTTCTAGCTGGAGCGACGCTTTGTATGCTGCTGGTGTGTTTCTCTCACTCACCAGTGCATCACACCCATCTCATTTTACCATGACCCAGGACTGCCCCGTTGACTCCGTTTCCACCCCGTCTGAGCAGAGGGTGTGACCCTGTGATGGGACCAGCTGGGCGTGGTTCTCTCTAAGGGAGGATGATGGTCCAGATCTTCCAGCGTTTTCTTATCTTGATTTTAATAGTTTCAGGATTATAACACGATCATTTTCTGCCTTTTAAACAGGCATTACTGCAAGACCATCTCGAGCAGACGTCGATACAATCGTGACTTAGAACAGGATGAAGCGTTCATCCCAGTCGGGGAATCCCTGAAAGACCTCATCGACCAGTCGCAGAGTTCTGGCAGTGGGTCCGGCCTGCCTTTGTTGGTGAGTTCAAATTCCACCTAAACGCGAACTACGTGTTGATGTAGCGTGTGTCCGCATGTGCTGAGGGACCACGCAGTGCAGGTGACGGGATAATACGGGACACGTTTTTCTTTTTCATGAAGATGCATATGATACAATAATGATGAAATTAGTTAGAGGTAAGAAAAATAGAACAGGCAAATAAGAGCCCGAAGCCAGGTTAGGAGAGAAGTCCTGGACTTACTGAGGGCCGAGCCTGTGTGATAGCAGCGAGGCCACATGGCCCTGCGGAGCTGCGAGAGTAAGCCAGGTCTGCTCTAGGCGTCCTACCAGCCTGCGGGCGGAGTCCGGCCTGGCGGTCCTTGCATCTCTAAGTTCAGGCTGGCGAGTTGGGGGAAGTTAACTCTCCGAGATGCTGACACGAGAGGGTTTCCTCCCTGCAGGTCATCATAAAGAGGACACTTCCCTCCATACGGTGCCGTGTTGCTGGGGACAGCTCAATAAGGCCATTTTAAAGGGAGTTATAAGTCATTCTAATATGACAATAGATTGATGGGCTAAGAGAACTCCATTTGAACGGACCCTTACAGTAACACTATCTAGATAGGTTTTGAGGCGTTGAAAGTAAACACATTGATTCCTAATTTTAAAATGTAACGAATTAAGTAATTCAGTAATTGAGCTTGACAGGTAGAACTGTCTGCAGTAAAACAGCAGGCAGTGTGAAGATTGACGCAGACAGCCTGAAGAACGGCACAGCGTGACTGCTGCAGCGAGTCAGTGTATCAGGTCGCAGGTGTGAGGTGATGGTCCAGGTATCATCTAAAATATCGAGAAATAAACCCCAGTGCGCAGTCAGGTTGTCGGGCCCGCACTTGCATCACTTTGCTACTGTCTGTTGCCCAGAGCAGTCCGGTGGCTAAAACCTGGCTCTGCGGGGAAGAGAACACCCTCGGCCGGGCGTCCTGGGAGGGAGTGGTTGTGATGCCCTGGCAGCACACTGCTGCATCGGCTGACCTAGTTTGGTTTCCTAATACGTGGTGCACTATTTCATCTTTTTAAAAACACCGTGTAAGCTTTAACTCTGGGGTGGTTGGGTGGACTGTTAGACACCTCCTCAGTCTTAATAGGTTCTTTTTGTTCAAAACTTTTTTACGTTTTTGTGTAAAGGTTCAGCGAACTATTGCCAAACAGATTCAGATGGTCCGGCAAGTTGGTAAAGGCCGATATGGAGAAGTGTGGATGGGTAAATGGCGTGGTGAGAAAGTGGCAGTGAAGGTGTTTTTTACCACGGAAGAAGCGAGCTGGTTTCGAGAAACGGAAATCTACCAGACTGTGCTAATGCGCCATGAGAACATCCTCGGTGGGTAGACAGTGGTCTCACCACGTCCTTTTCTGTCAGGTCGGGGAAGGCAGGTGGCTCGCGAGCGTCCGGGGTCAGCTGTGCGCTCGGCTGCGAGAAGCCCGGCAGAAGCTGGTGGAGGACAGCGCAGGGAAGTGATGCCAGGGCACCGGGCTCGCCCAGGCAGCAGTGGAGCAGTCTCTCATCGGTGGTTAGGCACCTCTCTGGGGTGATTTTAGCTACAGACACCTTTAGCCTTTTGTAAGTTCAGTGACCCGGAGCTTCGTAGACGGGCTGACTCTGTGTTCCTCCCCTCCCCTGGTCACGAGGCTCCCACCGCAGGTGTGACTGGACACGACGGGGCGGGAGCTGACCTGGCTTCCCCGGGCTTTGTTTTCTCAGCCCTCTCCCTGCCTGTTAGTTCAGAGGCTGCGTTGCCAGGCGCGTGGTCGGCACTGAGGTTAGTGGGGCCTGAACACAGTACCATCAGCTGGCTGGCCTAAAACGGGCTCCCTCTGGCAGTGTTGGAGACTGAAAGTTTAGAACCCATGGTGGCAGGGCCACGCCCTCTCTGCAGGCTCTGGAGGAGGTTCCTTCATTGCCTCTTCCTGGCTACTGGTGGGTGCCAGCCGTCTTTGGTGTTTCTCAGCCTGTAGACCACACTCGAGGCAGTGTCTGTCACCACGGGCATTCTCCCCATGTGCCTGTGTCCGCATTTCATCTCGTACAGACACCAGTCATCAGATTAGGCCTAATTGCAGACGACCTCGTAAGTTAGGTAGGCCCACTCTAGCTAGTCACAGACAACCTCGTAAGTTAGGCGCACCCTAGTCACAGACGACCTCGTAAGTTAGGCCCACCCTAGACACAGACGACCTCATTTTAACTTGATTACATCACAGAATGCCCTCTTGCCAGGCAGGGTCTCCTTGACATCGTCCAGGTGGACATGACTTATAGGGACACTTAGACCCAGGGCAGCTCTCCTTGACCTTTTCTTAAGGGCTGACCAGAGTGGAAGGAGAAGGGAGGGAGGGCAGGATTGGACCTGGTCCGCGAGCTGGACCAAGAAGACAGGTGCAGTAGGTACTGAGGGTGGGGAGGTGTCGGCGAGGGGCTGCCTCTGTGGAGTATCAGTGGGTTAGTTACCACTTGTCGCTTTGACATTAAAAGCCTTCGCCAGCAGAGAATCACGTAGATTGACAACAATGCGTGACCTGTCAGTCTGATGATTGTCTAAGTCACTATCCGTTGGCTGTTGGTCGCAGAAGTGCTGTTAAAGTTATGAGTGATAGAAATGAAACGTTTGGTAACATTCAGAGTGTTACATTATTGTTACCTGTACGTGACATCCGAGTCACTCTCAGGGCCCTGAGTGAGCACACGCGACCCCTGCTCGTCATCTCTGATGGTGACCTTTGAACCATGTTCCCTGGGCAGGTTTTATAGCAGCGGACATTAAAGGCACCGGCTCCTGGACGCAGCTGTACCTGATCACGGACTACCACGAGAACGGCTCCCTCTATGACTTCCTCAAGTGTGCCACGCTGGACACCAGGGCCCTGCTCAAGCTGGCCTACTCGGCGGCCTGCGGCCTGTGCCACCTCCACACGGAGATCTACGGCACGCAGGGGAAACCTGCCATTGCCCATCGCGACCTGAAGAGCAAGAACATCCTCATCAAGAGGAACGGCAGCTGCTGCATCGCCGACCTGGGCCTCGCCGTCAAGTTCAACAGGTCAGCGGCTCCGCCCCTCTGGTGGGGTTCCTTTTATCCCAGACAGGCATCTCTGTCTCGTTCCCCTCCCAGCTGGGACTACAGACACACTCCTGGCCGTGCAGACCGGGTCTTCCGTGTTGCACAGCCAACTCCGAGCTCACGGTTCTCCTGCCTGAGTCTCTGGGATTTCAGGCACAGCTGCCACGCCTGCCTTCGGGTACGACCGGGCCGACCCCGGGCCACGTGGTTCCAGGCTGTGCGCAGAGCGTCTTCCACTGTGGCTGTACTGGGACGGCTGTCATCTCCCAGAGACGGTGCCCGCGTGTGTCGGCTGGGATGCTAGGACGTGTACGCGCTCACATGTGATCGTGTCGTGCATAGTTGGGCTTCTTCATTTTTCTCTTTGTGAAACTATCCTACTGTACATCATAATGGAGTTCCTGCTTTGCGGTCTTAGACATCCTTCCACTCTAGCTCATGGAGGTCTTCCTCGTTATCTATAGCAGATGCACACCTCCATTATACAGGTGTTCCGTAACTGATCCTGTGATCTGACCGAGGACAGTGAGGCCGGCTTCGTTTTCTCTCTCTCACTGGACCAGTTGGTGGTGACGTGGTGGTTAAGGCGGCTGGATCCTACATGGCCAACTTGTAGTTCTAGTCTCAGAACTGGGAGCTTGAAAAACATGCCAGGTGCATGTGCGTGCGTGCCTGCACTCTGGAAGGAATGGAGGAGAAGAGATTGCAGCATGGCCATCCACCCTGGGAGTGTTTTCTCACTTTCCCCTCGCTCTCTGTGGCTTTCTAGCAGGTACACGCACCCTATAGCAAAATTACCAAATTAAAAAAGGAAAACGAAGAGATGTGTGTGTGTTACCTCCTGAGCGCTTCTGCAGGATTTATGCAGCCCTTTGTAACGGTGCCCGATGAGGGCTATGAGACAGTTTGTAGGTACGAAGCCGTGGTGCGTACTGCCCCTCCGGGGAGGTCCATCACTTCACACTCTCCTGGCTGGACAGAAGTGTGCCGCCTCTTCATTAGTAGCTGACATTGTCGATATTTTTAAATATTCAAAGTATGAAGTGTTTAGGAATGATAGAAACCATTCTGACGTTGCCGAAGCTCTAGAATGTGGCCGCCCTTTGACATTTCAGAGTTGATTTCAGGGCTGTTCCCATAGCCTACTGGCTAAGGGAGCTGGATCCCACATGGCCAACCACAATTTGAATCCCAGCCCTGGTGGCTTGAAAAGACACACTGTGTGTATACACAGCATGCCTCACATCCCAGCGGGGGCAGTTGGGGGCACGGTGGTTACGGTGTCTGGATCCTACCCGGCTTACTCTGCAGTGTGAGTCCCAGACTGCAGCGTGAAGAATACATTGAGCACCTGTGCATATGTGGCCCAAATCCCAAGAGGTGAACGGAGAAGGGATTGCAGGGTGGCCATCCCCTCTGGAGGGGAAGGGGATTTCTTCCTTTCTCTGTCTGTCTCTCTGTCTTCTCCCCAGTGAGCACATGTGCCCTATAGCAAAAACTTTTTTTGAAAAAGCTCAGTGGAGAGCCAGCAGGTGATTAAGGTGCCGGACTCTCACGAGTTGACTGCAATTTGAGTCCCAGACCTGGCTTGCTTTCTGGTTTTTTTCTTTCTCTCTTTCTCTCTCTCTCTGGTGAGTACACCTGCTCTATAGAAAATTTAAAAATAATAATAAGCAAAATGAAATAAATAAGGTTTTTTTAAAAATCCCAATGGGATAGGGAACCAGCAGTTAGCATAATGGCTATGTCGCTGGATTCCTACGTAGTCAACTGCGGTTCAGGTCCCGGACCCGGTGACTTAGAACTAATGTCGGGCGCGTGTGCGTGCGTGCCCAGGATCCCGAGGGGAAAATGGAGGAGAAGGGATTGCAGCATGACCATCCCCCCTGGGGGGGTGACTTCTCACTTTCTGTCTCTATGTCTCTCTCTGTCTGGCGAGCGCACGTGCCCTATAGCGAAAACGTCTCAAAAAAAAAAAAAAAAATCCCAATGGGGTAGAGAAATGAAGAAGGAGGGATTGTGGTGTGGCCGAGCCCCACAGAGGGGGGTACTTCTCCCTCTCTCTTTCTCTCCATCTCTCTCTGGCAAGTGCATGCACCCTCTGACAGCTAAAAAACAGAACTAATTTCAGGTTGTAAAATAAAAGCGCTAGTCTGTGAAATAGTGGTAAGAAGCACACACACACGTTTTCTTTCCCGACTGTTGGAGTTGACCCTCGGCCTGCGTGTTTGCTGGCGAGCAGTTCCTGTGCCAGCAGACCTGGGGCCTGAGTACCGCGTATCCAGTCTTCAAGTCTGAAATCTGACCGAAAGGCTGAAAAACTAGCCGAAGTCACTATTAGCAATGGTCGTGTGACTGTGTAGACTGTAGGAAGGACAGAACCGAGCTCACTGGACCTGTGAGAAGAGGATGCAGGGCCAGCCCCGTGGCCTGGGGGTAAGGCAGCCGGGTCCCGATCCCACACGGCCAGCTGCAGATGAATCCGGGTGTGTGCGTGTGTGCCCCAAACCCCAGCACGATGAAGAAATGGCGGTGCCTTTTCCCTCCCCTCTCCTTTCTCTGCCTGTCCCTCTCTGGCCAGCACGCGTGCCCTCTGACCAGTTTTTAAAACAAGAGCACGTCGTCCTGTGTCCCCAAGGCCCAGCTTGTCAGGAGCGCTCAGAGCCAGGGATTCCTCTCTCAATTTGTTTTCCTAGTCACTTGCTCTCCCGCGTGGGAACTGCTTTTTCTTAGCTTTGGTATCGTCTTTCTTAGAGAGGTATCAGACGTGCCTCGTGACAAAGCTTGCCCTAGACGGATGAGAGCTGCCGTCCTGTCCGGTTCAGGGTGACTGTTCAGACTGACTGTTCTGCTGCGGACGGCAGTCAGGAGAGCGTGCTCAACCAGCCGTGCCAGGAGCGGTGCACTCCAGGCCCCGCCGGGCGTTTGTCACACACGCAGCGCGGATGCACGGGTGTGCTGACTTCCTCAGCCCGAAAAGGCAGTTCATTTTCCAGCACACCTGGTCCCGAGGATGTACACGTGTGAAGATATGAGGGGACGCAAAACGTCCTTGGACAAATGGAATTAAAGCCCCAATTTATTGTGGTGTAAGAAATTCTGAGATCCATGCAGAGCTTTTTCATAACACATATTTTCCCTCAACTTTTTTTTTTTTTTCCTTTGGGAGAGGTTTTTGGTATAGGGCGCATGCGCTCGCCAGACAGAGAGAGAGACAGAGAGATAGAAAGTGAGAAATCACCCCCCCAGGGGGGTGGCCACGCCGCAATCCCTTCTCCTCCATTCTCCTCTCAGGATCTTGGGCATGCACGCACACGTGCCCGGCATGAGTTTAAGCCACCAGGTCCGGGACTCCAACCACAGTCAACTACATGGGAGTCCAGTGACATAGCCATTACACTAACTGCTGGTCCCTCCCCTCAACCTTTTGAAGACCGTACATAGGTATTCATGTGTGTGCGTGCTTATTTATTGTGTGTGAGAAACTTTCATTAACAATGTAAGATATTTTCTTTGCTCAGCTTTTTGTTTACACGTGATAGAGCATGCTCGCACACCTGAGAGAGGGGAGCACTCCTCACAGGGTCTGCTCACACCTCCTTCCTGCAGTCTCTCAGCTGGAAGGCTCTCAGGCACTCACGCACATGCCTGGTGTGTTTCAGGGTGACTCGGCTGGGTCCAGCTACTCTCTCTCTATTTATTTTTTTAGAGGTTTTTGCTATAGGGCGTATGTCCTCGTCAGAGGGAGAGACAGAGACAGAGACAGCGAGAAATCATCTTCCTGGGTAATGACCGTGGTGTTGCGGTGCGTTTTCCTTCATTTCCTCTTTGGATTTCGGGTACTCATGCACACACGCCCAGCTTGACTTGAACCACAGTCAGCCGCGTGGGAGTCCGGCATCTTAACCACTACGTGACCTGCCGGCCCCGACCCAGCTTCTCTTGAGCGGCACGCCACCACCGTGACCATGCAGACTATGCCCGACTGACCATCTTGGTTCCCCCTCGTCCTGTTGCAGTGACACGAACGAAGTCGATGTGCCCTTGAACAGCAGAGTGGGCACCAAGCGCTACATGGCTCCGGAAGTGCTGGACGAAAGCCTGAATAAAAACCACTTCCAGCCCTACGTCATGGCCGACATCTACAGCTTCGGCCTGGTCATCTGGGAGATGGCTCGTCGGTGCATCACGGGAGGTAGGCGTCTGAGCTGTGGTCCTCATGTTCTCGCTCACCCGTGAGAACTCACAGCTGCAGTGACAGTGTGACGGCGGGCATAGCGGGGTCCCAAGGCCTGTGCCAGGTTCCATGGGCTCCTGGGGGCCCCCATAGGCCTCGGACACAGCTGTCCTCACGGCTGAGAGGCCTCAGTGAGGGGTCAGTCAGCGTCAGCAAGGACACGGCCCCTGGGGTACCGGTCTGGGGAGGCGAAGGGGAACGTGGTCACCCAGAGAAGCCGACCAGAGACGCAGCCGCCGCCGGTTCCCCTGGACATGGGCTCGCCAGCCC